TTAAACACATAAATCACAGCCCCAGCCAGCCCCAGCCAGCCTCAGCCAGCCAGCTCGGTCAGTTGCAGCCACCTCTCCATGCTCGGCCCCGCCCCGCTCCCCCTCCTCCAGCTCCGGTGGCTAGGTTCGGTGCGAGTGAACCGCGCGTGCAGCTATCGGCAAACACACCCACACAAACTTCCACACACACACATTCACAGAGTCTTCCAGTTTTTTTTCGCGCTCCATTTCATTCCGCGTGTTGATCACCACGGCCCCTTTTTCCCGATTCCGCGGCGCGCGCTTCGCCGCTCGGTCTCTCTCGGTCTCTCTCGCACCCGCGGGGCGGCCGAGGGGCGGCCGTGCGAGTGCGAGGAGGACCTGATAACGAGCCGCCGTTCGGATTCGGCCTGCCGATGCGGCGCGGCCGCGCGGCTGTAGATTCATGACGGTCTTCATCACGGCGAGGAGCGGGGAGTCGCTTTTGGCGCCGAATATTCCTCCTTCCCCCCGTGAGCGGCAATAATTCAAACCCGGCACCGCGAGGTGGAATCGCTGCCTCTTCATTTTTCATTTTCACCGTTCTGAAGTTTCAAACACAGCAGCCTCCGTTCACCCAGCGGTGGCCGAGGGGGTAGCGTGCGCGTCTGTGGAGCCAAGGGCCGGAAGTTCGAATCTCGCTAGACGCAAACTTTCATCTGTTTGCGGCGTGTTTTGTTGCGCGTGTGTTGCAAGCGGAAATCAGGGCAGATTAATGCTCCCGCACGCCGCGCGCGCCGCGCACGCCGCCAGAGCAATGAGTAATTGGGGATTTTAATGAGGAGCACGCTGCCTCGCCGCCTCGCTTGCATGGAATAAAATCATTACGATTAATTATCGCGGCTTGTCGTGAGCACGGAGCAGAGCTGACTGATTCCGAAGAGTCTTCCTGCCCCTGTCGCACTTGTGAGGCGTCCCGGAGGGAGTGCGAGAGAGTCAGACTGATCGCTCGGCGGCCAGGCCACAAAGCGGAGCGGCGGCACGGATGCGCGCGCTGAGCCGCCGCGTGGTTTAGGTGGACACCTTCGCGGGGGTCCCGGTCCCGAATCTCTGGGAGAGAAAGAGATCCTGGGGGAGAGGGGCTCTACGTAGTCCGATGAGGTCCCGAATCGCAGCCCCGGAAAAAAAGGAAAGAAACAGGGGGAGGCTCGAATTATGGGGGTCCACCAACCCTATGAGGGGCGGCCAAGGTTCCTGAAAATGGGAGGGCGCCGGCGCGTGGGTGGAATGGGTTGGGGGGGTCCCTGAAGGTTGCAGGAAGGGAGGGACTCGCCGCATGCATCTAAACGGGATCATTTCCAAGGGGTGGCAACGAAGCAAACGACCTCCCCGCACGCCAAGATACGTCACGCCGCGCACCTGTAGGCCAGCGGCGCAATGAGCACACACGCCATCAGCCCCGCTGTCGGCCTGTCCGTCTGACCGGCAGTCTGTCTGTCCGTCCGTCCGCCCGGGCCTCATTCCAGGGCCCAATCGTGCCGACAGAATGGGAGGTTATCGGCTGGGCTGCGGGGGTGAGCGGGCTCGAGCGGGCCTCACGGCGATCGCGCCCCCCAACCCCAACCCTTCCCCTCCCCCAGCGGCGGTCCATCTGACCACCAAACGACCACACACCCGACCGGTCCGGCCCATTAGGAACACCCTCGCCGGGCGGGGCGGGGCGGGGCGGCCCGTGTCCACTTGGCTCAATGCAAATCTCATGCGCACCGCCCTGCCTGCCCGTCTCCCTCGGACTGATTCGTCTTCTGCTTATCTGGACCGCACTTCATACCTATTAGGACGCCCCGCATCCTGTGGCTGGTTGGGCGGAACGGGCCGGCCGCGAACCAGGGAGGGGGAAGAAAAATCTCGTGGTACTGACAGTTTCTTACAAATTGAATTTGATTTCTTTTTCCGGAATCTCTTTTTTTATCTTTTGTAAAAAAATGTTCTGCGTCGTTTTCATTAGATTTTTTTTGACGTTTTGTTTAAAAAAAAAATGGGGCTTGCTTATTCTATTGGATATTCCTTCAACGTCCGGCACATAACTTGCAACATGATTTGAGGGTCTCACCCACACATCCACACACACACTGACACCGGGGCAGGCACGTCCCTGTCAGAGGCATGTGAGGCACCACGCCATACATCAGGCCAACATGGCCAGCTAGGGATTAATGGCCAATGCTAATTACCATCATCCCGCGCATACATATACACGCGTACTCACACACACTCGCACACTCACACACCCCCTCTCCCTTGCACTCATACAAACGCGGACGAAAAAGTTGCGGGCCACCATCCATTGGCAGCCCTGCGGCCTCCGTATCACTCCGTGTGTTTCCCGGCCCAACTCTCGACAGCGCGGAGCACAGCAATGCCAGCAAATGCAAGTCGACCGTCGAAACCGAAAATAGGAAAAAGTTAGTTTTCCATCGGTTATGACTGAACGTCGAGGGTGGCCTCGTCAGGACGTCGGCCCGTCCAGTCGATGTTGGCGCGAGGGCGCACAGTGGGCCAGAAGGCCGGTGGAGGTGGCCAAAACTCATGGCGCGTTTTGAGCTCCAGAGTCGCTAAATGGGACTCGAACCGAACGTGTGACCCCACCAATCGATTCCTCGTTCGGAGAGCAATCCATTGGTGGAGTCACAAGTTCGGTTCTAGGCCTGTTTAGCGACTCTGGAGCTCAAAACGCGTCTAGAGTTTTGGCCGCCCCCACCGGTCGTCCGGCCCACTGTGAGACGCCACCGAAAAACGGGTCCGCGCTGACTCCCAGCTGGAACAGCCGCCACGCTCCCACTGCGGGGAGCGCCGTGAAGAGTCGCGCTGTCTCTCTCGCACCCTTGCCGGGACGGCCCGTGAGTGCGAGAGAGACGAGGCGACTGAGGGCGGCCGGCGTCTGGGAGTCACGCTGGGATAATCGCTTGCTAAGCTTCCGGAACGAAAAGCCGGCGAGCAGCAGGGCGGCCACAACACGGCTTAGACGCCGATGTCTAGGAGTCCGGGCCGAACGGCCGTGGCCGCCCCGCAGGCCAACCAGTCCATTAATAAGTATTGGGGGGCGTTATCCCTGGACGCAAGTTGGGGAGGACGGGGCTCCCTGGCGGACTGCTTAGCGTCGCCCAGGTGCGGCCACCAACTATTGCAAATGAAAAAGTGAGTTTGCCGCTCGGCCGCTGCCAGGGCGCTGTGCGCGAAGACGAAGTGCCCGCTTCCGCCGTCTGAACTAATCTGGACGGGGCTTTCGCGGCGCAGTGATTCGCTCCGTCTCCAAGGGTTGCAAACGGTTGCGAAGATGACCGCCTTTCCTGGGGCGAGGTGCGCGAGGCGAAAGGGGACGTGACATTTGGGTCGGAGAGCAAACCAAGGCGCGCTCGTCCGCGTCGAGTTCGTGCTTCACGACGCCTTGTTCCTCCCGGACGACTCGGCGGCTCGGCCGCCCTGTCACCAGCAGGCAGGGCCGCCGCGGCGCGCCGTCTCCAGGAGCGGGAAGAAGGCCAAGGGGAAGCACGGCACTGGTAAATGTTCCGTCGCAGCCAGCCAAGCCAGCCAAGCCAGCCGGCAGTGTGCTAGTTTGCATAAACATGAGGTGCCAGCTGCCACCCCTGCAGGGCGGCATGCGCGGCCAGCGCGGCCAACGCGGCCAACGCCCAAAACATCCTCGCGAAACACGCTGTTGGAGTGTCGGCCGCGCCCGACAACAAGCAGCGGCCAGACTCAACGTGTTTTCAGCGCTGCAGTCACCAAACACTGGGATTGAAATCGAACGCACGAGGAAACCAATGTATTCATCGATAAGCCAGGGAAGCCATTTCATTGGTTCTCGCCAGGGTCATCGCCAGGGCTTCGGCCAGAGAGAGCCTCGGCCCCGGTCGGCCTGGCCGCTGGAACCTGGACCTGGAACCCCCGGAGCGCCGCCAAGCGGCGGACCACGGCGCACTGCCGCCGGAGTTTCCGCCGCCTCCCCCAGCCGCCCCGCCCCGCCCCGCCCCGCCCCGCCATCCACTCACGGAGGCATTCCGCGCGATCCCGGTCCGGGCCTTGGCCGCGTGTTTAGCCCCGCAATTATTAATCACTAGCAATATGAATAGCGATATGAATGGCGATGTGAATACCGGTGTGAATAGGCCGGCCCGCGAATAATCGGCCGCTGAGCTTGGGTCGCGTTCCTCGCGAGGCCGTCCGGGGCCGTCCTGCTCGGGGCGAGCACGGCCGGCACCCGGACGGGAGGGGGGGTGTCGGCGGGGTCCCTCCGGGTCCCTCGGTGTGCCCTTGTTCGCACCGCCGCAGCGTCCCCCAGGAGCACCCCCTGCCCCTTCTGCACTTGAAATCTTGCGTCCCCTGCAAGTGTCTCCCCACCCCCTCGGCCTATCTGGGATGCATGCCAAACAATGGGGCCCTGTTGTGGCGGAGCAAACGGCGAGGGGCAGGAGGCAGGTCTCCCCCCCCCCTCTCTCTCTCTCCGCTGTCCGCCCCGAATATGGAAGGACTATCAGGGACGAATAGGAAACGCCTCTACCCTTCGCGCGCGAGTCTCTCTAATCGGCTGCAGGCGTGGAGTATGTAACTTTCTTCGGCATGGAGAGACTAGCAACTTCTCATCTCAGTACCAAGCCATCCAGCTTTCTGTGATTCGCAAAAGTAATGATTTCTTTTATCGTTAGGGCCATTGGTAATCCTCTTCGACCGTTGTGTTCATCCGATCAGTCGGATCGGTCGGATCAGCCTGCTCATCCACTTATTGCTCCCCTTGCCGCTCCGGCTGGACGGACGGACAGCGTCGCGAGAGGCGCTCGGAGTATCTGCGCCGCCACGCCGCCGTAAATACCCCGTGCCGGAGGGTGCCGCCGCGCGGAGTAGCGACAGTGAGTATGAGAAACGCGTGATGACGTTTCTATGGGGGAGTATAAGACTCTACGAGAGGCGGTCCCGGCAGAATCTATGTACACTGCCCTCCTCAGACACTTTGAAAGGGGGTTCGGGTGAAAATGAGCCCAACAGAAAGAAAACAGTACATTTAATACAATCAATTGCCTACAACAAATACATCAGGCCCATAACGGCAATACTTTGTCCGTCCGGACATGCAACACTGTGAAAAAACATCTCAACTTGCAACACTGATTTCAATAAATAAGACAAGATCAACAAATTAAGTTATAAATAAATAGAAGCAAACTTATCTGAAGAAATAACATCCAATTGTGTTGCAGGTTCCTTTGATAAAATTGCTTCTTAACAAGAAAAATCACATACTTGAGTTGAAATGTCTGAAAATAATTTATGTGATATTTATGTACATTTATGCAAATTTTCGTCAAGTACAATCTAAAACGCCGAACCAACAGATATGTAACGAAAGTTCTCGAGTTGGTTCGGAGTTCAAAATCCGATTCTACGATAATTTTCTCTTCAATTAATTTCTTAATGAGAGGCGAGAAAGTCTCGGAAAACACGGCGGTACACCTTCGCATGCCTTAGGCCCTTAGATGCGCACACTGACTGACCATGCGCGACGAACAAACGCGTCTACCCTTTCCGTTCTCTCCATCAACAATTTTGTGCACTATCTCGACATGGAGCTCAAACCAACCACGTACTTTCACCACACGCCTCGCACAAAAGTCAGAACTGCATTCGTCCCCCGCCGTAACACTCTTAACTTAGGACTAGGTGAATCTTCACTTCCGGTCCCAGCTGCTGCTGTTGTAGAACCACGTCGGGTCCTCCCGCTTCGGCCACACCGAGTCCAGGTTGTTGTCCTGGAAACCAGAAAAACGTGGTAAGTTGTCAAAGTTTGGCGTCTCCAAAGGCATAGGGTGGTGGTTTTGCTGACCTGGACTACGTTGAGCTGGGCCGCCCCCGGGCCGAGGTAGTCCACGTTCGAGTAGTAGTACCCCTGCCCCCAGGAGGGCTGGCCGCCGCTGGCGCCGGAGCCCCCGCCGCCCCCCGCACTACCCACGGCCCCGGGGGCGGCCGAGACGGGCGGGGGCGGCACCGGGGGCCCGGGGGCCAGGCCGGGGGCGGCGGCGGGGTAGTTGCGCCCCTCCAGGCAGCTGTCGATGGCCGCCGGGCTCCAGATGGACGAGCCGCCGTACGGCGAGTTGGGGCTGCTGCAACACAACGAAGGACCGTCAGACACAAACCGTCACGCCGACGACGGGGTTTGAACCCACGCGCTCCAGCTGCTGCGCAGAGCGCCTGCGTGGCAGGCAACCCATTCGGCACGCCCGCATCACAGCCAGGCGCGTGGCCTACCCGCCGGGCGGCGTGCTGCCGCACTCACCTCTGGCTGAGGAGGGGCTTGAGGTAGCTGGCGTCGCGCTGGCTCGCCGGGGTCACCGAGGTGCCGTTCAGGGCGGGCTTGCATGGCACGGCCCCCGGCACCGCTCCCGAGACGGTCCCCGCCGTGGCGCCGCCGGGGAGGCTTGCGGAGGACGGCGCGGTGCTCTTCTTGGCGGCGCCGCTGAGCGCCGACGAGGACGTCGACGACGAGCGCTTGGCGTCCGAGCTGCTGTGCTGCTGCTGCTTCTGCTGCTGCCGGCACTTGGCGCGCCGGTTCTTGAACCACACCTGTGACAAAAACAAAGAACGCGTTGAACACTGTGCTTGCCGACGTGCCCCGCAATGCGACTTGTTGAGTGTGAATCGTGCGAATAGCCAGGGTCATCAGATTCAGATTCACATTCAGCTGTTATTTGCACGCGGTGCATAGTGGTCAACATAAACAAAACAACATCAAAACATGGCCGCTCTTGGATCATCGTAACGTCGAAAATGTCACTTTTGAGTGCATTTGGTCTCGCCGTGGTCAACGATAGCTTATTTCTGTCACTTTCTATCGTGTTATACTACTTTTGGAAGGCTTGAGTACGCTCGGACTATCTCGTGGTTGGTTAAATGTTGTAAATTAAGGAAGGTTTTGGAGGTACCGGATTTGCTACTTAGTGGGGCTAAGAAGCTGGCTCATGTCTTCCTGATTTGAGAATAGACTGAAACTGTTTGCTGTGTCAGCCCCTTTTCAAGAGAGAGTGATTCCGTGATGTCCAGCTTCTTCATGTTGATGTGAGTACCATCCTGCCAGTGTCTGAGGTTGCTGGCAAAACCAAAGAGATTCCGATGTTAACGTGTAATCTGAAAATACAGATGCAGGTCTTGGATGTATTTTGCAGTATGATTGCAGTGATTCAAAAGAGGGATTCTTGGCACTGGAGGCTATTGTTTAAACATTATCTATTCTATAAACTTCATTCAAGCTATTTCTTTTGGAGTGCCAACTTCTAGCTTTGTTGTCTGTGGTGCGCTGTGGAATGGAACGCCAAACTTTGGCGCTCTTTATGGAACACAAACAGTGGTAAAACTAAAGCGTAGTATTACCCACTGTTTGCAAGAGTAATCAGTTTACGCTTGAAATCAAGCATAACAGGCTCGTCCCCCAATTTTTCCCCCCGTCTAAATGCACGGGGTAATTTCTAGTATATGCTTCATTTCAAGCGTAATGTCTTCAAGTGTAACAACTGTAAATTTTGACGAGAAGTCCAGGGAACCAGGGATAGGCACGCTAAATTTTGGCAGTCTGAAAAGAGCGCCAAATTAGTGACGAGGAAACTTGCACCGGGTTTGCAGTGCCGCCGCGTCGCGTCGTCGATACTCCGTGCCGCGAGCACGGGGTGTGTCCCACTGGCTCTGGCGGCGCGGGGTATCGCCGGCGCCTCGCCCTTCATCCCCCCACCCCCTGCCCCAGCCGCGGACGGTGGCTGATATTGAAGCCAGCGGGCCAGCCTGCGCGTTCGAGCGTCCAACCGCGGTTTGGTAAGTACTCCGCTCCAATGGCATCAGCGGCAATCTAATGCAGAACAGGCTCTGCAATGCGAAATTGGCTTCGGCGCAACGAAAACCTAAAACGTTGCGGCAAAATGCGTGCATTATTTCTCCCCTCGGCCCTCACCTTGAGGGTTGGTGACCCCGCCGTCCCCTCCCCTTTTTAGAACGGGCGCGAGCGAAGCCGGACCAAGCCGGCCATATCGTGTGACTGCAACTCTAGAAGCGCCGCGCCACGGCGGGCCGGGCCTGCACTGCACAGACTGCGCGGCACTGCGCGGCACTCCTACACTCTAAAGGGCAGAGCCGAGGACAGTGTGCAGTTCAGGGCGGCACGGCGGTACACTCAAAGGGAAAATTCGGCCGAACGGCCGAAGATCAGGCGGGAAAGTAGGACGGCCTGGTGAACTGGGAGGCAAAAGACAGGAAGAAAGAGTAACGAAGACAAGCGAAAGAGAGAAAGAGAGAGACGAAGAAGGGGCGGTAGTCGTCCATCACAAGCCAGCCTATTGATCCTCCCTTTCCCCGGCCGAAACAGAGAGGGAGAGAGAGAGGCCGCTGTGGTTGCCTGCCTGCCGGGGGTCGGAGGCTGCCAGGCAGCCAGGCAGCCAGCCTGTTGGCATCCCTGCCTGGCCTGGCCCGGCCCGGCCGCCTGCACGCCCGCCGCGTTTCGCCACGTCGCCGAGGTTGGCGGCCCTTTTGTTTTCATTATTACTTGCCGCCAAGTTTCCTCTTTCGCCTTTGTTCGCGGCTGGCGCGGTTGCTGGAGTGAAGGGCTTGGCAGTGCCTGGAGTTAGAGTCCTACATCCCCTTCGGGGGTAATGTAGGGCTCTACCTGGAGTGCCTGGAGCGCCCGGCCCGTGTACCCGGCCGCAGCGCGGCGGTGCCGGAGGGGCGGCCTGCCTGCCGGGCGCCCTCCACCGAGGCGCCCTCCACCGAGGCGCCCTCCACCGAGGCGGCCCTGCCCTGCTATTGGCGGGGCGCTGCGGCGGTGGCGGCCCCAGCTGGGTAGAGCAAACCTCTGACGACCAAGGCGCCCCGCTCTGCACCGCTCTGCCCCGCTCGCGTCCGAGAGTGCTGGTCTCGAGTGTAGCTTTGGTCGATAGGGACGGAAGGGGGAGGGGAGGGAGAACAAGTCCCGTACGGCGGTATCGCCAAGGTACAGCAGCAGGAAAATCCTGGAGATGTAGCAAAGGGGCTCATTAGGGACAACAGTCAAAGGGATGAGCGAACAGACGGACGGACAGACAGGCAGACAGACAGACAGACAGACAGACAGACCGGGGATTTGAAGCCCTGCAAGGGCGTGAGGCGTCGCTCCGATCACGCGACGCGGGACGCACCGAGACAATGCCGCGGGCCTAGCGCGTCATGGGGGCATTTTATGAACCGCGAGACGTGGGAAAACTCTGACTAATACGTTGTCTGTTTGTTAAAATTTGCAACTATTCATCTAAAATATCGTTCCATTTGTGTGCTGGACTTGTAGAATAAACTCGACGGATAATCTGGCTCGGTTTCATTGAGCTGGCCGGCGTATTTTTTGCACGGTGCGCGCACGGCGAGACGACGACACTACGGCGATGGCGGCGGAATTTGTCACAGTGTGGGGACGAGGGTGCCCCGGCCCCGGCCGCCCTGCGCGCCCTGCACTGCCCAGGCGGCGCGCGTAAAAAGCGCGCCAAGGCGGAGGGAGGCGAGAAGAATGGGACGGACAAAGACAACGCCAATGGCCGCTCTGTATGCGCGCACACGCACCGCACCCCGGGGCGGGGCGGGCGCGGCGGGCGTACCGCGGCGCGGCTGAACACTCCCCCGGGGCGTACTGCGAAGGAACGCCCCTTGGCGTACCCGGACGTCCGGAAGACCTCCCGAAGAGCGCGCGAACTCTTGCTGAGTCGGGGCGCACCGCGATTGGAACACCTTCCCTTGGGCCCACTCGGTACGCCCGCTGCGACCGGTACGCCCTCCCTGGTTTATCTCGCGCGCCCTCTGCCTCGCCACGCCACTAGGAACGCCACGCACGCCGCGCCGCAGCAGGCCGTGCAGATCGTCAATCAAACTCCCCTAATTGGCCTATTGGTCGCTGTGCTAAAGTGTCACTTCCTGCCAGCTGAACTCTTGGGCGGGGCGGGGTGGGGCGGGGTGGGGCGCGGCGCGGCGGGGTGCGAGCACGCCGCAAAGAGGAAGGCGGGACGCACCCCTTGTTTGCACTTCTAAAATAAACACAGTCGCGCTACCGTTCACAGATCCGCGCTACCCCCTCCCCCTTCCCCCCCCCCTCCCCGCCGCGCTGCGCATTTTCCAGGGGTTTAAAGCCCCAGCGTCAGTTCCGCGACAAGTGAAACTGGAGTCGCATGACGCGTCGCGCGACGGATTCGCGGCAGAGCCAAGGTGGAGGGGGTGCGGCAGTCGGCAGTCGGCAAATTGCAGTCGAAATATGAAGAGCACGCAAGAAAGTGAGCGTCTGCTCCGCGACGTCGTGGAGACTCGACAGTCGTCGCCTCGCCTCTCCCTCGCGCGTCGCGGCGACGCTGCGACGCTGCGACACCCCTCCCGCCCCCTTCTCGCTCGCGTCGCTCGCGTCGCTCGCACACACAAAGACAAATTTCTCCTCCGCTGTTTACTTTCCACACCCTTGTGCGCCGCGGCTTGCTGTCATCGGTAATGTAACAGCCGCCCCACCATCACCATGCACCATCATCATGCATCATCATCACCACGGCCATGCACACAATGATGCAGCACCACCATGCCGCGCCACGGTCACGGGCGTGAGTCTTGACGCGCAGGTCCGGCGATCGGCGGCGAGGAGGCGCTACCCGATTAGCATAATCGTAATCGCAAGATTAGCAGGGGCCGCAGGGGCCGCAGGGCTGCGCAGGGCTGGGCGGGACTCCCTCAACCATAACACGCTCCAATCCGGAGGCCGGGCCGGGCCGGTCGCACCACGCGTGTCGTAAAACTCGCCGAGGATCGAGGAGAGCAACGCGCTATCTTTGTCGCACTCATGGTGCGTCCAGTAGGGGTGCGAGAGAGTGTCAACCCTGTGCGCCCCGTACTCACCTGCACTCTGGACTCGGGCAGGTTGATCTTGAGGGCCACCTCCTCGCGCATGAAGATGTCCGGGTACCTCGTCTTGCCGAACAGGGCCTCCAGGACGTCGAGCTGGGCGCGCGTGAACGTCGTCCGCTCGCGCCGCTGCTTGCGCGAGTTGGCGGACCCCATCAGCGGGCCTGCAGCAACAACAACAACACGTTGGACAAACGTTCGTTGTTTTTGTTGTCCTTTTTGGCGCTGAATGGACTGACCTGAGGGGAAGCCCATGGGCGGGTGCAGCGAGTCCATGGCGCCCATGGACAGCCCGATGCCGTTGACGCCGTAGGGCGGCGACTTGAGGTACGCGGCCATGGGCGGCGGCCCGGAGCCGCAGGACCCGCCAAAGCCCAGCAGCTCGCCCTCGGGGCCGCACCTGAAAGAGAGAGAAGCTCTTCCTTAGTGGTCCAGCTTGAACCTGCGCCTGTCAGCCTCGACGCTGCCGTAGCCGTGTTTGGTGCTACAGTGATGCACGTGACGTCGGTAGCGTGTCAGTGACGTGTCAGTGGCGTGTCAGTCGCCAAACAAGCACGTCAATCGCGCGTCTGAAACGCACCGCGTCCCCAAATGAGATGCCGCCTCTCTCTCCCCTCCCTCTCCCACGGTGGCCGGAAGTGAGGCTGTCGACACCTTTCGGCCGCATTCTGCTGCAAGTCTGCCGCCACAATGCGTGCCAATGTCAATACTAATACACATGCAACAAAATCGGCCCCACAAAGGCGGCCGGGGCTCCCCCGGACACGTCATGCATTGTGCGGCCGGCGTGTTGGAAGGCCTGGAAGGCGGAAATGGACGAATTTCGCGCTATAATGCAGCCCGGGGAAACACTGCTTTTCAATTATTTCACTTATTTGCAACAACAAACAGAGCGGCGTCTGAGCGGCGGCGACTAGAATAGTATATTCCTACAGCATTAAATTTAATCACATTTAATTTCGTACTCGACACTTTCTTTGGCGCAGCTGTGCCATGAATAAAAAGAGCGCATTTTTGCACGCTAAAAAAAATGGTGTTCCCATACGCCACCCCCGCGCGAATAAACTGAAAAGGATAGCACACTGCACGACGGGGCCGACGGGGAGGGTGACGAAGACGACGACGGCGACGACCGTCGCCACAAAAGGAGTTGCCCAACACGATGACAGTTCGGCTACATTCGCCGGGCCGGGGCGTTTTATATCGCACAGACATGCCGGGGAGTATGGGCAGGCCGTGGCAGGCCCGCCACCCCCTTATGTAACCGACTTCGGTCCGCCCCGCGCCGCCCCACCCCGCGCGCCATTGTAGCCCCTGGGATTAGCGCGGCCGCGCGAGGACACGCCACATGTGGACCATGAAGAAGAAGAAGAAGAAGAAGAAGAAGAAGAAGAAGGAAGAAGAAGAAGAAGAAAAGACAGATATGAAATATGCAAGAGTAATAGAATCCCGCGCGGGGTGCCCGCCGTCCAGCCAGAGCCTCCTCTCCTCTCCCGCCACTTTTCCCCCTGATTGCCCGCCGTAATAGGTTTCATTGTGATGGGGCGGGGCAAGGGGGGGGGGGTCCCCAGGGAATGCCCGGCCGTGTCGCGCCGTGTTGTTCCAAACACTGTCACCGTGACGCGACCGAGGGCGGGGCCGCGCTGGCGTGGGTGTCGCTGGACGCATCGATCCTCCATCATCGCATTGAATCTGTCGGTGGTAAATTGAATAAATTTGTCGAGGAACAAACATACGGGTGTGTCATTGTCGTTTAGACGTCCCCCGGGGCATCTTACTTACTACCCGGAGTCGTGTATCATACACAAGGGTGCGGAGGAGAATGATGAGTGCAACGATGACGAGGTGAAACATCTTCGGACTGAAGAGAGAATTTTGTAAGTTTTTCGAAATGGTTCGTAAATTTGTACGTGCCTTCCTCATTTCCATTCTAGGCTATGCTAATTCATTGGAGCTCAAATGCTCTCACTTTTGCTGTGATTCAGAATGGGGCCGGTCTTGCATCCATTTCTCATCCGGTGCTGAAGTAATCGTTCCCCAAAAGCGCAATCCCTACAAGTTCCCCGCCCAGAAAACTTATTTTGCAAAGGAGCAGGAAACGTATCCGAATTGAGCGAGGGGGCGTGGCAGGGGACAGCCTGTTGTGGCGTGGCGGGGCGTGGCGGGGCGTGGCGGGGCGTGCAGTCAGCACAACCCTCGGCTCCCTTTTGTGTAAGATTACAATGCGGGGTAACCAATATGATAATTGATATTTCATTAGGTGCCTCCCTGTCTGGGCCGGCCTCTGGGGAGGGAGGGAAGGGAGGAGGGAGGGGAGGGAGGCTGGTGTTTTGGACCGGGATGAGGTTTCCACATGACGGCCGGCACAAGGGTGGCATCCTTCTGGGATATCAAAGCAGCGATTAATCAGATGAGGCCGGGACCTCAGTGGGACCGCATTGACCACATCGCCGCGCCCCGCGCCCCCAAAGGACCTGTCCGTCAAGGAAGGAGTTTTTTTCTTTCCTCGGAACGCAAATACGCCAAATACTTTTTTATGTTTTTTTTCTGTAGTTTGAAAATGTTTCTCAGACCGAAAGCAATGAGAATTCAACCACATTTGCCTTAGGTAAAATTGTAAATTTCAGGTTAAGAGGGTTTCCCCTTGGTTTCCCCTTCTTTTCTTGTGTGTCCAACCAACCACCCGTCCCATTCCTGTCCGAGCGGCCCATCGCGCTGACACCCTGAAATTGAAACGGGCCGAGGGCGTCGCTCCCCGCCGAGAGGCACACTGCGTGCTTCCTGAAGAGGGCGCGCGTCCGCAGCGACCGCAGGCCAGGGCTGCCGCAGGGCTGCGGAGATGGAGCGACAACGTTTTGATTGGCCGTCTTGACAGGCGCTAACGAGCTTGTCCGGCACGCACCCGGGCCCCATTCACGGCCCCATTCAAACCTCCACGCCGTTCCCCTGGATTTCCTAACAGGGTATCTCAAGTTGTCCGTACCCCCAAAAAAGTTTGGAAAGGTCGGAGGCGGCAGTGTGGCATTCTGGAACGCCGGCGGCGACAGCGGCAGCGGGGGTTCCATGGGCCGCACCGAGGCATGGGGGGTCTTGGCGTGGGCGGGGTGCAGTGGTGCAGCCATGGTGCAGCCACGGTGCAGCGGAGCGTCGCGGTGCCTGCACCACAAGGGGCGCACTCACCTGAGAGTAACCTTTGCCTGCGGGGCCTCTGCCTGCTGGCCTCGGCGGCCTCTGAGGCCGGTACGGCACGGCCTTCGCTGTTCCCAGAGGGATTGTGGGCCTTTGGAGGAGCCATGCGGTCTAGCAGCGCAGCAGCGTGCTCCACTGGCTGCACAGACCGCTCGCCCGAATTTCGGTTCGGCCAAAGAAAATGGGGGGCTGCGTGCCTGCCGCGCTGCCGCCGCCAGGTCTAGGGCCTCGGGCGCCACCGAGTCTAGCGCGTCGAGAGGGCTGGCGCCTTTGCGTCCTCGAACTCGAAAGTCCCTATCTGACTCAGGGTGGCCCTCAACAAGATGAAACCAAAATCTTTGGATGCAAATTAGTGCAAAGCCAAAGTGTCTCCAGTTTCACTTGCATAGCACGTTGAATGTGCTCATCAGCCCGCTGCATGTTCATTCCCTCTCCGAAAAAAAAACACGCGCACACACACGGCATTCCGACCGCCGACAAACCGAATGCGGGTTAATGTCCTCACAACTAATCGAACTGATGCGCGCCGGCGATCCCTAAAAATAAACACGCCGAGGAGGAAATTCTTTTGGTAAAGCGACACGCCAGTCGGTCGTAAAACAGCTGGACACTGACAGAAGGTGGCTACCGCGGTACGCCCCGGGGATGAGCCCCCCGCCCACCCGCCTCGCCCCGCCGCGCCTCCTCAAACGGAAATCTCGAAATATGCCCCCACATTAATCACTGCAATTATTCCCACCCGATTATGTCAGCCACGCGCGCGGAATTCGGAGGTGTCGTACAAATTATTACTTTTTCGCCGCGCGAGTTATTTCCTGCGGCCCTTTCCGTGTGCCGCGCGCTGCGTGCGTGCGTCCCTGCGTGAGTGTATGTGTGCTGCTTCTTGGCAGATCCAGTATGAGAAAAAAAGACGAGTAATATTTCGCGAACAGAACTTGCTGCTAAACTGTGTGGGGATTAATGGAGTCTTTCTCCTGCTCGTTTTTTTTTTCCGAGTGCACTTCTTCGGGGGCCTGAGGCACACGGTCACATTTGAAAAACAGGTTTGACAAAAGAAGGCGTCCGACCCGACGGCATGACGAGCGGCCGCGCATCCCCGCAGCCCCCCGGTGCACGTAAGCCGCCCGATAACAAAACGAAAAGAAAAGCGAAATTCGGAGCTGCATCGCTTGGAAAAACCAGGCCGTTCCAGGCCAACCGTGGGGAAAACTATACGTCTTAAAACAGTCCAAATAAGGTACACTTGGTCGCAAGACTTACCCGCCGGACAGTGAATTTGGCCACATTCCGCAACCGGGAGCGCTGCAACACGTAAAACACGCTGGTCAGGGCTACAGTGTATCATTCAATGCGGTGCTCTTCTAGTGCAGCTGCACACACACACGCACACATACGCACACACTGGCAGGCCTCACGCTTGGAAGGATCACCAAGAAAATGGGAACAGTCCAAGAGGCTCGGCCTTCTGCCCGAGCTGCCCCGTACCGGCCGCCCCGACCGCCCCGACGCACTGATGCAGAAGTCAAGTCCCGGTGACGCGGTGCCGCACTCCGCAAGTGGTACACATTTCCCCCTCGACGCGAAGGGCCCTCGTTCCGCCCATTGCGTCGAGGCCTCGACGGCGAGGTGCAACACCTCCGCGACGGCCGCCGCCACCACCTCGAGGGCCTTATTGGGGTCCGCATGTGCATGCGGGGCACACGCTCGGGGGTCTTCTTTGTTGGAAAACAACATTCCGAGGCCTGGCCGCGAATCGCACCAAAGATCGGAGACAAGGCCGCCGAAGTCGCGGAGGTCGAACTGGCGGTTTCGGCTAGTCGTCGAGGAAAGCGGCGTCCCAGGAGGACCCAAGTGCCCGGACTCCCTCAACAGTCGCGGCAGGCATTCATTTTCGTGTTCCGCTTAGTTTGAAAGGGAAATCGCTGGTGTGTACTTTTTACTTTTTACCGGCCCTTCCGTATTGAGCCCTGTCAATGCCCCGTGAGGCCAGCGGTCCGGCAGTCTCGAAGCGCCCCCCCCCCTTTCCCGCCCGGACCCCGGCCCCTTGGATGCAAACCAGCTTCCCTTGGCTCTGCGAATGCCTCCGGGCATGCGACACGGCGTGCATGCTGCAGGAAGAAGCCCACCACGCTCCACTGGGCGAAGCAGCGACGCACACGGGAAGCCTTTCGATTAAGCAATGAATCCTATTTGCCGTCAATGGCGATCCCTGGAGCACACTGCGAAGCACACTGCGGGCAGCTGGAGTCCCTGGAGTCAATGAAGACGCTGAGCTCCAGATTAGTGTTGTGCGCAACATCCGGAGCGTTGGCACACCTGCGGGCCTTATCAGATAAGGAGTACAGCCCACGCGGAAGCCAAATCGGCCCATTTGACGCTTGGGGGACACGGCCCAGTTTGACGCTTGGAAGCCACGGCCCATTTGACGCTTGGAGGACACGGCCCAGTTTGACGCTTGGAAGCCCTGGCCCATTTGACGCTTGGAGGACACGGCCCAGTTTGACGCTTGGAAGCCACGGCCCATTTGACGGCGCTGCGGACAAACAAGGAGGGCAAATAGCGAAGGGTGGCGGTGTTGATGGCCGCGTGGCGGAGCGAGGCGCACCGTGCCGCAACGTCAACAGGCGCCGAGGGGTCGCGTGGCGCCTAAAAGGGCCCTGTTTACCTAATCGAATTTGCAACTAGAACGAAACCGACCTCATCATTGGCTGAGCAAATATAGGCCCCGACACCTTCTGAAAACAGTTGACTTTTGCAAGGGATTTCGATCCGAGTGTTTTTGACGGGTCGGTTCCCCGTTTCCTTGAATATGTATCTCGTAATTATGTTTACGGATGATTCATAATGTAAACAAAACCAAACATACAGAAATCTTTTGAAAAAAAAAAAACTTTGTGGTGGGGGTTTTACGCTGACTCACATTTCTCCAGCAAAATATTTAGTTTTGTTCACAAAATTGGCTCTATCGGCGAATCTCCGACGACCACCGGCCTACTGACCACGGCCGAACCTGACCTACGGTGACACTTTTTATGTAACCGCGATGTGCGATACCGGGGTCGTGGAAAGCTCTAAGCGTATGCAAGCCACACCGGTTTAGTGACGGGCTCGGGGCTGGGCCGGGCCGGGCCGTGCCGTGCCGGGCTGGCCGGATTATCCAGCGTACCGAGAATCGCACCGACCGACTTTCTGACTTTCGGTTCGGCCGCCGGCGCCACGTCGCCGCGGTACGCAAAGCAAGTGGAGTGCGACCGCGAAGCCGCGAACGGAGGGAGGGGCCGTCGGACAGCGGACCAGTTTGGGCAGGCGGACAGACACTTTGTTGGGCTGCTGCGGGGCTTTTCACGAAAGGACTCGGATCAAACACACGATGAAACCGATGGATCGCTCTTCGAACGAGGAATCCATTGACACCGCACTGCATTTGATTCGCGCCAATCTGAGGGGAGAGATGGAAGCCGCGAGACCGGAGCCGCTGTGCCGTCCAAACTGGTCTTGGCCCAGGGCTTCGCCGAACCGTGTATTTCCAAGGTGGCGAGAAACGTGAAGAATAGTGAGAAGGCCTCTTGGTGGCGCCGTGTGGCGCCCGGCCTCCGCCCCACCCCTTGCGCGTGCTGCTTGTCGGCGCGATTGACCCAAAGTGACCGCCGGCGCACAAGGGAGGTTAATGAAAAGAGAACAGGCCCGGGTGAGTGCGCCGAGTCCGCCGAGTGCGGTCGGGTTGGGGGTTGTATTCGGAGGCAGCGTGGCGGAACGGCTCGAGTGCCGGCGCTTGGCCGCTCTCTCTCTCTCTCTCTCTCGCACTCGCGGCCGCGCGGGGAGGGTCGCCCTCTCTCTCTCTCGCACCCGAGGGAGAGCGGCCGCGGAAGAGAGCACGCCCCCGCGCACGGCCCAGCGCCCCTCAAGTGCGGCACGCACGCTCAGGGCATCACGTGGCACCTGCACTGCATCTGTTTGCGAGCGGGTCTCTCCGCCGTGCTTCGCAACAAGTGCACTGGCTGAAACGCGTCCCGTTTCAATCGCACCGTTCAGTGACACAGGCTTATTCGGCCCCACCCCCCGCACCGCCATCTCGGCAGTGCTCGGCAGCCACAGTGTCAACTCGGAGCCACTCCAGCGGTGAGCCAACAAGCCCCGCGCAGCGTGCGCAGCGGGCCGTCAAATACTCGTCGGATATGAGTTCGATACTCTCGACGCGCGGCCGGGCCGGGGGCCGGACGCAGCCTTCTGGAAGTTGACGTTCGCGGCTCGCAAGCCGCGCGGCAAACACGCGGCCAAATGAGCGCACCAGGCCGCCACTAGCGCTGCGGGCGGCGGCCAAATGAAACTGGTGGAGTGAAAGGACGCCGGGGAGGGGGTCGTCGTTTGAACAAAGTATTACAAACGTCGGGGCGCCGCGACGACTCGGGCCCGCTCCAGCCGGCTCCAGCCCCGACGTTCGACAGATGGGTTGCTTGGTCGGCAAGCCCTCGAGTAGGTCCGCCTGGCGGCCTCCACGGCCTCCACGGCCTGACCGCCTCCACGGGGTGGTTGGCGTCGAGCAGCGCGGCGCACCGGGGAGCGCGGTTTGCGCGGCGCGGCCGTTGTTGGCGGCGGAGGTTGGTGGTCAGCCGAGGGCCGCGGACCCCCGCCAGGCACCTTGCCGCCAAATGCTGCCCCGCTTCAATTGCCACTTGAAGGTCCAGCCGTCCATCGGCCGGGCCGCGGCAAACAACAACCACCCAAAGGGTCCAAAAAATAAAACTCAGCGAAAAAAAAATTAGATATTGAAATGGCGGCACAAAAGTGGGCCCGTGTCAGCCGGGGTCCAGGAACGGGGCCTCCTTTGAGTCGGCCGGCGTCTCACATCAAAGGGTCGCGGTGTGCTGCCTGTTCCGCCGACGCGGCAGCGGCCGGACCAAAATCAGCAGCACAGCAGCACTTTGGTAATCCAATTGTAAAACGCGCGCGACGGACTTGGGCCTCTCTCTCTCCTTTGAGCGCTAACAAGCTCAATTGCCGCGCTCATTGCTCATTGCGCGAAACGCGGAAGGGAAGCGGCGCGTCGAAACCGCGGAGCGCGCGGAGCACGCGGTCAAGGCCGGCGCCGCCGTCTGCAAAGGGCGTTCGGCAGCATCGCCAGACGTCGCCCCCGGGATAGCCCGAAGATGTCACCACTTTTTCAAACTGGGTCCCGCCAAATCCAATACGTGCTTAGTACCATCACTCCGCGCCGCTGCGCCAAAGCCACGGCAAGGTGATCGATTTGGAAAGCAAGAGAGAGCGCGTGCTTGGCGGACACGTCCTCCGCGGCCTCGGCAAGGGGGCGGCAAGTTACCTCGCGAGGGCGTCACGTCCTTGCCGTGCCGTTGCCGTGCCGCGCCGTGCCGTGCCTTCAGGTGGCGCTCCTCCCACGGCGCCCTGCGCTGCCCCGCACTGTCACAGAGAGTGTTTCGCACCCCTAACGCGACGCCCCGCGAGTGCGAGGGAGACGGATAGCGACGGCAAGCGCCTCTCCGAGTCAGTCCGCTGCAGGAAGCAGTAATGAATACAACAACGGTAATCTGGAGGCGGCAGCGGAGCGTTCGGCCGTTTACTGGCTGCCGATAAACCGATCGCAAATCGCAAGCCGGAGTGAGAGAGAGAGAGAGAGAGAGAGAGAGAGAGAGAGAGAGAGAGAGAGAGAGAGAGAGAGAGAGAGAAAGCACAGTCTTTGCCACATTGGGCGGCAGCGCGAGGAAAACGCTGCGAAACCGATCGGGCGCGACGCGCGGAAGCTTTGTGTATATTTGCCAGTCAGGAATCTTTGGGGCGCAGTCATGATTAGGCAGAAGGGAAGGGGGGAGAGGAGGGGAGGGGTGGCGAGGGAAGGGAGGGGAGGGGGCGGCTGGTAAATCGATGCAGGACACTTGCAGGGATTCACCGCGCGGTGAGAGGGTGGCGAAGGGGAAAGGGGGAGGGGGAGGTAAACACAGGCAAGGGCGTACACGTTACAGCGCGCAGATGAGTCCCTCGGAGTGGAGCTAGACGCGAGGTTAGCGGCAGCCTACCGACCAGAATAACTGCAATATCTGTATTTCTTCAAACTGTTGCTGACAACGCCCTGAATGTTTTAAAAAATATTTCCGTTTTTTTTGTGTGTGTGTGTGTGCGATTTGCGCGGTAGGTTGTGCAATGGCATCATGAAGCCCGCCGCTCCCTGCTCGCGGTATCACGGCGGTGACTCGAGTTTCTGGCGTCCTTCGCGGCGGCGGCACCTCGGAGCAGCAGGAGGTAGCAAGCGTGGCGACGCAGTGCTGCTCCAAACACACACCCCCCGTTTGCGTCACTGCGTCGCGCTGCGTCGCGCTGCGTCGCCATCCCGGCTGTGACAAGGCGACACACGCGGCCGAGGAGCCGAGGTGTCAAATGGCCGATCCGACCACTTACTTACCTGGGCGCGTCCGAACGCGTCGCGCTCCCTCGCACGCACAGTGGCGCAGCAGCCCCCCGGGGCGGGGATCGCCACGGCGTAGCGGCGGAGCGGGGGCCGAAAACAAACCCCACGGAATATCATAAAACGCAGACAATGCGTGCGACGGGACGGGGCACGGCTCGGGGTACGGTTGCCGGGCGCGCGTAATCCCTGAAATGGGAGAAGGCGTTTCCAGGGGCTGCTTCATTTGGCCGCAGCGCCGACTTGATAACGGACTCGGGTGTCGCGACGACAATCAGGGGCGCCAGAGGGGAAAGGGGGGGGGGGGAAGGCGACGAAAAGACTGCACCAGACATCGACTTTGTTGTCTTTTTCGAATGGGACACACCGGCTGCATTTACAAAAAATAACAATTCAACGAAGCCAAAACAGATTTGACTGACCAACCATTTGGATTGGAACTTTGAGTTGAACGCCCAAAGCGGCCTCTCCCCTCCCCGTTTGGACCGATTCTGCCGGCCGGACCGTGTGGCGCACCTCCTGGGCGCCACTGCGGCACGCGCCAACAAATCAAGCCACGTTACGGAAACAAACGAGAGCGGCAAAATGGCGAATAAATAAAACAAACGACGTGTCGGATGGGAACACATTTGGTGACGTGAAATATGGGGTGCATAAATAGGCGGCTTACCCACCCCCTCGAAGCGCCACCGTCATTGGCCATCGCGCGGCCCACGCGACGTGGCGTCTAGTCGGACCTAGTCCACCATCTGGCGGACGTCCAATCCGGGCTGGAAGGGTTCGCTGGACGTCGCCGTCAAGCCCCGCCCGCCGTGCTCCGTGCCGCACGCCTTGTGACAGTGTCATCACGCAGTGTATAGGGGAGGCAGGGCCAAACCGATAGTCGTATGTTGTTTTGTTTTTTTCGACACGTGAAATGAGATGCTTGCGCCTCCCCAGCCAGCCCAGCCAGGCCAGCCAGTCTCAGGCGGCCGTCTCGGCCGGGGATTAGTGGGACCACACCTCTGAGGGGGAGTGACGCGGAGTGACGGGGCGGGTGAACGAGTGACTGGGAGAGTGAATGTAACGCGAGACGGGACGCCTTTTGTCCGTCACACACACGCTCCCTCCACCATCCACCAAAATATTTGGAAGAAACCCGGGGCATTTCGGGGAGGCAAGTTCGCGACGCGCTCTGGAGTCGCAGTCCGACTGTCCAGGTGAGTGCGAGTCCGTGTGTGTTCGGGAGTGAGAGAGTGTGAATGCGTCTTTCTCTATGTACGAGCTTCCCTTCCCTTCCTTTGGACTGCAAGGAATCGATAAGCTATCATTACTCTGCAAGCAAGAGACGCCCGCCACGGCTTAGGCAGCGCGACCAGTGCGAATCACCCCACCCCACCCCACCCCGCCCCCCACCCCACCTCACCCCCCCCCACCTCACCCCACCTCACCCCACCCCCGGCACACGACAAAACAAAGCAAAGGCGTGCGATTTGGCGCCGCGACTAAGTCATTCCCCGCGAGACGCTCCAGTCTGGCTCCAGTGGAGGCCCTAAGCCGCGACGGCATGGAGGGCCACTGGAGTGCGAGGCGTTCCTTCCGCCTGGCTACGCCACTGTGCTACGCCGACGGCAAGCAGTGCAGTAAATGGGGAAACTCACTCTGGACGCCCCTGCGCTGACATCGGCTTACATCGGAGACGAGTTCAGGGCCTGCAAATGAGAACAAAACGCTCATTTCGACGGCAAAAAAAAAGAGAAAAGGCTGCGCGGTCAAGGTGTGCGTCAGCGGCTTCGGCGAACGCTTGGCCGCTTATCTGCAGTGCAGTCCAGCCAGCAAGTGCCACATAACTGTAGCCTAAAGGCAGACTGATCTAGGACCGCGTTAGTCGCAAGCGCAGCTGCTTCTGTTAAAAAAAATCCCCTTTTTTCCAGCTGGAAAATCACTCGAGTGTGTAAAAATCAACTGCCCGCCCTTATCTTCAAGCGTTCCCGAGACCCTTCAAGGGCCCGTGACGCCAGCAAAGTCCCTGTTTAGTCACACGAATGGCGTGATCAAACACGTAACTCACGTGTCACGACCGCGGCTGGCGTTTCGGGAGAACTATCCGTGCGCGTGCTTCTCGAACCTCGAGTTGGTGGTCAGCCCTGTGTCAGCCCCTGCTATGCACGGCGCGGCGCGAGGCCCAGCCGTCAGAGCTGTCATCCCTAATACCGTCTCGGGCCGGACCTCCCAGCCAGATCATCAAAACCCGAAGCCAGTCGGGCCTAGCGCCATCGCCACCTCGCGCGTCGCCCCGGCCGCGCCGCTGCTTGCCGCTTGGAGGTGGCGGTGGGCATTCTGCGCGGGTATTCACGCACTGGCCTCGCCTCGGCCGCTTACTCCTGCCCCGCGGCACCCGATAGCGCAGATATCGCTAAGCCGCGCTGTGCCGCGCCACTGCACTGGGTACCATTCCAGAGCCACGCGTTTTTCCCGGCCGGCATAGCTCGCGGAATGCGCATACGGGTCCCATTCAAATGGCGGTTCAAACGGCGCAGGGCTGTGCGTTACCGACACGGAGTCCGTCGTCACCGCGGCCGTCGCGAGAAAGCAGACAGGAAAGAGAGAATCGTCCACGCTAATCAGGAAGTACGACCAATTTGTCTTATCTGCATGTCGCGCACGTACACGCCAGATAGCGCCTTGTCAGCGAGGACAGGCACTCGGCACTCGTGGATGACATGTGTTCGGCTTGACAAGTTTGACAACCCGTTGCGCCCGAGTACAGCACTCTATTCCGCGAAAAAAGGTTCCATTCATTCGCCCGCGGCCGCAGGAATACCTTGATCGACGGACGCCAACCGCAGCACGTTCTCGACGAGGCTGGTGGAGGCGCCTTCCGCTAGGTCACCACGTTTTCGGAAGGATGATTGTCATTTCAGAGAGTTTTCAGCGACACTCATTTCACAACTTGAGAAACTTGACGTGACCGACTCTTCTTGGACGGGGCTGGCGCCTAACCCCAACACTCGATGCGCGGCTGGGCCAGGCTGGGCGGACCGCCCCATGCAGCACTCGCAGCCCCGCCTGCCCCGCGCGCTGCGGTCGCACTGGGTCGCTCTGTCGGACGGCCCCTAACCTCACACCAGCGCCGCGCACCGTCACCGAGTCCGCCACCGCGTACGTCGCGCCATGTCCGCGGCCACACTTTCACTGACGGCGGCCTCCGCGGCGCCGCACGGCCCGAGTGCACTGCACGCGGGCCGCGTTGACGGCGACGTCCCGAGGCCGCCGTCGACGCCGGCGCCGCGGTGGGGCGTGGCGCTAGGGCCGCGACGCCGCCAGCGCGCCGCCCGCCCTGCGGCGCCGCCTCGGAGAAGCACAATCAACTTACCTACGAGCAGGCGCGGGCACAGCGGGCACAGCGGCGGGGGCGGCAGATAACGTTACGCGCAGCTTACCGAGCTTACCGCTCCTCAAACCGCATTAAAGACGGCCCGATTGATCCCCCAGCTGCAATCCCCAACTTTTCAAAACAGACACAAATACGGAGGCCAGGCCCGGGGCCGCGCTGCCCTGCCGAGCCGCGCCGAGCCGCGCCGTGCCGCCGACACAGCGAGCCCCGCACTTAGGCCCCGGGCCGCGCGGCGCTGGGCGCAACGCGGCAGCCAATGGTGGGGCGGCGCGGCCCGGCCGCGACCAATGGCAGCGCCGCCCGGGCCTAACCCCGCCCACCGCCCGGCGCACCGCGGCAGCCGCCCGAGCGGCGCACGCCCGGCAGCGGGGCGCAGCGCGGCGCGAGCGCGGCGCGGAGCAGCCACCTCCGAGCGGCCACCCCCCGGCCGGCGGGGTGGGCCGGGTGGGCCGGTGGGCGGGTGGGCCGGCGGCATGGCAGGGGTGGCCCCTGGTCCGCAGCCAGCAGCCCATCAGGCAGGCTCCCGATCGGTCGCCGAATTGGCGCACTGCGATCACCTGCAGCAAGTCGTCGGACAGCAGAGCGGTTCTGAACGGCGCCTTCTCCGCTCTCTCTCGCACTCCAGGGGCGCGCCCCAGAGGTGCGAGAGAGGCAGACACGCCGTGCGGAGTCGGTCCGCAGGAGAAGAAGATTGGCCCGGATCGCGGAAACCTGGAAACACAGCCGGGGGCGGGGAAGGGGAATCGACTTGCGCGTCGCCGTGCCGCCGTGCCCCGCCCAGTCAATAGAGGCCGAGATGGACAGCCCTTCATCCCGGCAGCCCTTGTCGGAGTAAAAATGGCAGGGGATCAACCACTACACTGCCGACGGGGATGATGATGATGATGAAGATGAAATTCGAGGTGAGGGTCCGCGGTGGGCAGCATGGGGCAGCAGGGCGGGAAAAACAGCGACGTTTTCGAGTCTGTTCTCGAGGGGCGATAACGCCCGCGAAGGGCCGATGGCTGTTGTATCGGTTTATTGGCGGATTTCAATCAGCGTGCTGAGGAAATGGGCAGCGCCTGTCAGAGCAATAAAGCGTGCAGTGGAGGAAAAAAAAGAGTACACAAAGGCAAATAAAAATTGCTCCAACGAATTGCTTATGTATTTTGTGCACAACCTGCGAGGGGGCCAAATTTGTATCGTGCAAAATTGAATCTCGCACAGGTTGTTCCAACTGACGCTTCGTTGCTCAAAATTCTACAAAATTCGTCGTTTGCGTTGCGTAGACTGCGGTAGACAGCAAAGTTCATCAAGGTGTATTTTCACACTGCATACAGTGAGTAATTTTGAAATGAGAAACCAGTTCGATGAGATTTTCTCGAAGCGACTTCATACCCTCGTAAAAAATATAAAACGCAACATAAATACCTCATAAAAAGGGGATTATTTTCTGAAAAATCTTAAAAATAAACACGGCGCGTCGTGGAGGCGCGCGCCAAAAGGGAAGTCACATTTCACCCACCTCCAGTGGCGTTGCGTCGCGTTGCGTCGCGTGGCACACAATGCCCAGATCAGTCCGGATCAGTCGGCCTGAGGTGCGTTTAGACTTGTTTCGATACTTCCGCTCAACCACCGCCCCGCCGGCCGCAGCGTCGCTAGGGCTGTTCAGTGGGATGCTTTTCGTGTTCGTTGGTTTCCGGTTTTTTTTCACGTTTCTTCGTTTTCGACTTAAGCCCGTCGGTGCGATTAGGGTATTGATCGCTCGTTCTATACATTTCCCACACAATTGTTTTGATTTTTTTTTTGCAACTCTGTCATTTTGCATGACGTAAAAATACCCCCACGAAAGCACAAAACACGAAGCGCTAGACAAGGCAGCGACTTCGGCCGCTCCACATAATTTCGGCAGCCCTAGCGGCGCAACGACACTTGGAGTTACGCCGCCGATTTATTCGGGGCTTTCCTGATGTGATTTGTAACAACAACGCGGGGAAATTAATGTCCGGAATTCTTCCCTTCCACTCCTTTCACATCACTGCCCGGCCTAATACGCACGCCGCGCGGCCACGAATATTTCGGGGCTTACAGTTACGCTGCTTGTTATTTGGTTGTTTTTTTTTTTGCACCGGCCGTATGAAAAATTCAGCCGCGAGCATGACGAGCGAGCCGAGGAGTGTGGAAGCTGCAAAAGTTGGCGCGCGGCATTTTCGAAGTTTGACCGGTTTCGCTGGCAGCGTCCCTCTCTGTCTCTTCCATTACCTCACATGATATTCCCTGGAGCGTGCGCAGAGGCGTACCCTGTCCGGGCGGGGCGGGGCGAGGCGGGGCGGGGCGAGGCGGGGCGGGGGGGGCGGGGCGAGGCGGGGCGGGGGAGGCGGGGTGGGGCGGGGCGGGGCGGGACGCTGCGCTCCGGAATGGAGGGGCTGTAAAGGTAGAGAGGGCGTTGTTGGGAACAAGAGGGTTGCGGTGAGGGGTGGATTTTGGAAGCAGGGCCCAAGGGCCACCCGAATGGGGTGCGGCGCTGTGGGTGGAAGGGAGAGATCGCCGCGAGGGGAGGCGAGGCACTCCCTTGCACTAATCCGCTGCACGCCGGAGCACGCCGGAGCACAGCGGCACGGCAGCCCCTAGCGGCGCGCAGGGCGCACGGCGAAGCACGCCGGAGGACGCCGGAGAGGAGGCGCCTCTGTCTCCAGCGGGAAAACTGGGAAGCCCTGCAGCCATTTTCCTACACTCGCAACAGAAAGTGGCCCGCCGAGTATAACGACCTCACGCTGACGGAAGCTTCGGGCGTCAAGTTCGAAGCGCTCCGGTCCGGGGATACTACTGCGACGTCGGGGTGGATCAAGTAGCAAATACACTCGAAATGGCGTTGAAACTAAAGTCAGTCGGGAACAGCAGTCGAACGCGCGCGAAACAAGGCTTCCACTCACAGTGTGTGTGCGCGTGCGCGCGCCTGGTGGCTGACTGTAGTACAGGCGAGGGCAGCTGGGGTTGTTTGGTGCTGTACGTACACTGTATGCTACGCCTTGCTGCGGAATGCGCCCCCGAGAAACCGCAAGTACACTGCATGCACTTGGAAAGTGGTATCACAACACATGACTCGTGTGTCTGTGTGTGTGTGTGCGTGCCGCGTGCCCGCTACACTCTCAAAGCTGCATATGCGCGGGAGCTCATCGTACAAGCACTCTCACTGCTAATCTGTGGGCCCGCCACGCCACGCCACGCCACGGCCCGCCTGGTTGCCGTCCTCCGTCTGTCTGCGGCTGTGTCTGCGGCGCGACGACTCTAGCTGCGCGTCTCTAAATGCGTCTGTGTGCACAAAGTGTGTGTGTGTACGTGTGTGTGTGTGTGTGCTGGGACAACAAAAACAAAAGCGAGCCCGGCGCGCGAGCGGGATTCGAACCCACGCCGCCTCGCCGCGCAGCTTGACGCGTCGGGTCGTCTACCTGTGCCGTCGGCCCGTCGGCCCGTCGGGGCTATCTGGCATCGCATGCATGATGCATCAGTGCATTACGAAACGGCCGCCCATTCACAGGCAATCAATCCATTCAGGCCGTGATTCAGCAAGACGGACAGAAGAGTGTCGCCCCGACACCGTTCGTCCCGGTACTCCGGGTAGTACTGCGGTACCGCGCGCCGGCGGAGGACGCGTCTCGTGAATCCAGGCGATTGAGTGCCGCTGTCGTTTGCAGAGTACTTCGCCTCGCTTCTGGAACGACGCGGAGGCTCCACTGACGTGCACTACACCGCAAGTCGCGGCCCGGGCGACCCAAACGCACGACGGCGTGGATACGTGGAACCGTCGCGTTGGCGCACTTCCGACTGCTGGGACTTGCTTTCCCGCCGTTTCCGTTTCGAACGTCGAACTTCCTTGTGCTCGCGGGCCATGAATGGAAGTGGCGTGTGAAAGTATACGTCCTGCCGCGCCACGCCGCGCCACGCCACGCCGCGCCAGCCGTTATCGCTTGTCAATCGAACCATACGGCCCGGAGCCCCATCTCGATACGGGCTAATCGAAGTGCCGGACGGGGCGCCTAAAACAAACACGTCTGGACGCATCCCGGCCGGACGACCACGGCGACGACGGGCCGTGGGTTCGAATCCCGCGCCGTTTATTTTCGTTTGTGATTTTCATTTTGGGTGCTTTGCCGGGTGGTTTTTCTGCGTGTGGCGCGGTCTATAATGCGAGCGAGCCCAGTGCACCTGTCCCCTCGGCTCCCTCCGAGGACGGGCGCGGCACGGCGCCCCTGACCGAGCAGCCACCCCTCTCGCCCCCACCAGTGGGCCACCACGCCAACGCGCATGCGCCCCCTGCCTGCGCCCCTCGAGGGGCCGCGGCTGCGTGCGAAGTCTCTGGTTCGCTCTGGGGGCGGCGCTGGGGGCAGCGCTCTGGGCTGCGGGGGCGGCGCACTGGGGGCGGTTTCGGCGCGACGACCCGGACGCGGCCCGGGGGGTGGCCGCCGCGGAAGCCAACGACAGTGCGATATCGACTAGTGTACACAACAACGAGGCACCAGGGCTTCGGCGCTTCGGCCCTTCCCCTCCTCCTCTCCCTTCCTCTCTCGTTCGTCTCCTTATTTCTCACGTGTACTCAGCATTGTAACGCAACAATGAGGGCGTGACTCACAATCAGCCGTTTTATCTTGTCTGTAAATTCGCCTGGATGGCGGGGCGGGGGTGGACGGGGAGAAGGACGAGAACCACCTCTGGAAACACCTCTAAATACGAGCAGAGTTGAACGTA